TATATATATATATATATATATATATATATATATATATATATATATATGTTACATACACATTCTAGTAGTTAAAACTATTTACACCTACGAAGGAAAAATCGATCAAAGGTCAACGTTAATTTTCTCCGCGAATATCTTTCTATCCAAGAAATCCATAAGTACAAATAGATTTGGAATAAGAGGATAGAGCTTAGCAATCCCGACGAATAACATTAACAAATCAAAATCGGAGACATTTGTCTGTTATAAAACTGCCATGTGCGATCATGTATCCGACGACGGGACGCATAATTTATCGGGTTAAACACGCTCACGAGATAAATGGAAAGAAAACACCGAATATCGGTGTGTAAACGTAACTCGATCATCGTTCGAGATGGTCAAACGACTTTATAACGCGTTTGTTTTCGTCCAGGAGAACGATGCGGACAGACCCGCGGACTGTGATTCACGGGGTTTCACGAACGTCTCACCGGGTCCCGCGTGAGTGCATTAACGTTAAATCTTTTAACATTAACACAGTCGTTCCGCGCATCTACTACACGTATAGCAGAACATTATGTACATAATGATGATGGTCACAGTCGATACGCTTAGTGTGCACTAAATGTTTGTCGTTCAACGTTCAATCGCTGTGTTTCGTGCGAACACGATTCATTAACTGTTCTTTGATTCTATCCGTACGTACATTGCTCGATCGCGGTTTTCGCGCAGTCTCCAATACACCCGATTGAAAAAGATACGCGTACAATTTTTAGTTATAAATAAATACAATTATGATAACGTACGCGTAATAAGCACACTGGTACAGCATTAGGCGACGGCGGTTGAAGTCGATAATATTTTCGAGCCATAGGTTTGTATTTACACTTGTACTTTTATACTCGTATTACGTTACGTTCCGCCGCGGTTGTTAAACACGAATCGATATCATATTTTAAGCCGAAAAATAAATTATAAATGTTTACCTATGCGCAACGCGTCTCAATGGCAGTAGGCACTGAAAATGTTCCTTCGTCGGAACAACCATAATTTTTTTTTTTTCAATATTCACAACGATTGTAAATCCAAAGTTAGCTACACAACAATACACCTACGAATAACATTGTAGAACACGACGGTTTGACATCACTATAATACTCGAAAAAATATTTCGATACTATGATTCGCTCTCTCTCTCTCTCTCTCTCTCTCTCTCTCTCTCTCTCTGTCCCCGTATTCGCATTCGGTCGTGTATACTTACCGACGATCGCACACGTAATAATAAACACGTACATTGCAAATGTGTACAAATGCGTTGCAGTCGGACAGTTCAATCACCTCCACCAATCCCTGTCCACAGGTGTACAGGTACCATGGATGGCGGATAAATATTTTCTTTTTCGATCGCACCGGAGCCGCGGAATTATTTCCAGTACGTGTTTTTTTTTCGCCGGTCCCGCGTTTTGTTTTGCGATGCAGTCCAAACAAACTCGAATCGGTTCCTTGTTATTGTTCCGTCGGAATAATAAAATAATATAACCGTAATGATTTTCTTCATTTTTTTTTTTCTTTTAGCGTACACGCCGGGGGTCATCGCAGATATTACGCGACGTCTGCACCACGATTATTCCGAGTGCGGTGCGTGTTCACATCGCAGCAATACTGGCCGCCGACGACACAAGGGACCGTGCCCATACGTCGACGATGCCGAAGATCGCGCGCGACAACCGTCTGCCGATAATGTTGATCGCGTTCCTCGTGGTCGGCTCTGCGGCGGTCACCACTTGCGACCGTGCCCGTTGCAGTCCGATCCCTTCGCCGGGGTCGGATACGACCCTGCGGTCGCCGACGCCGACTGTTCAACACAGCATTGATAAGCGGGACGATGGTGGACGCGTGTCGGTAACCAACAACCGGTCCAGACCCTTTGACCACGGCCGGGAGGTCGCCGCGATGCAGAAGCTGCTGCTCCGCACTTCGAGCGCCGTTTCCGAGTTTCTGCCGTTCATCACGTCGGCCCACCCGGGTTCGCGGTGCTTCAAGCACACCGTCATGTACCTGACGCAGCTGGATGACTTCAAGCTCTGGGCTACCAAAAGTGAGCGAACGTACGGACACGTACGTATAGTAGTATTGTATTATGTGTATATTATGCGGATTTCCGAACGAAAATTACCATTATTATCATGGTTCTGTTAAAAGGAATAATAGAAAAAAAAATCGAATTAAAACCGTGAGTGTATTAAGTAAATAGGAACTCAAAGAACGAGGGTTTTGAAATATGTATTATTACGTCTTTTACGGTATGTAATAGTATCGTATCTATAAAATTGAACGAGGAGACCTAAATATTGCATTTATGTACTGACATAAAAATAAATGGAACTAAAAAATATGTACAATGTAAACGATATTTTAAATCATAAATGACTTTACCAATAATATAGTATAAAACATTTCAAACAGTCAAGTAAAAATTATTGTTTAAATTAGTGTTTTAAGATGCTGTGTACTTTAAAACGTGATATTTTGTGATGCTATTCTAATGTACTGACAATACGGAATATTCATAAACACTGACCGTGTACCGAACGTCGTTTTTCGTACAATACGGTAAACAAATACGACCGTATACGGTCCACCACGAATTATACGATGTTCGAGTTTTGATTTTTCATTTTTGACGGGAGAGGGAGAGGAGTTGAACATTTTCGGACACGCTGTGTAATTGAGTTTGAAACAAAAAGTGATATCTAACGGAAAACCTCGGAGCATCGTGTAACACTTGGAACAAATTGTACAGATAATAGGTCTGGACAAAATATCGAGTCTGATAATGCCCGTAAAATACTGGTGCTGATGTAAGTTCTTTTTTTTTCGGTTTTTTTTCTTTTAACCACTCATCGTGTTGGAAACTTTTAATGCAAACCACCTAAACATCAGGTCGAAAGGAAAATAAATCAATACGCATTACTTTTACTTATTAGTTCGAAATCTAAAATCTAAACAACAAATACTGGAACGACGAACGTGGAATGTTAAAATCTGAAATGGATCCCTTTATTTCTACCTTTTTTCAGTACAATGTTATTTAACTATGATTAATCTTATCAAATTAGTTTTTAATGCTTAAAACAAATATATTTTTATTTCAACCTGTTCCAAGAACATTTTTGATCAGGATTTTGCTCCCCACCTCTCGTCTACATTTAGAACAATACGTTTTTCCACATCCATAATATTTCTCAGGTCATAAACTATATAATATTATATTATAACAGATACTTCCGAAAATAAAAATAAACACTATTAAGATCAAAATTAATTCCATTAGAATCATTGAGCGCGATCAATATAATATCATATCGTCATTATGCGTTACTCCTATCATCTGTCCGTAGAGACATACGTCCTTGCGTCGAAAACTTTCCAATCTTATAACGACCTCGAACCAGTGATGATTTCTATTGTGCTCGAAAAATTTTTCACGCTACGCATGACTCCGATTTCCAAGATGGTTTCCCCGTTAGGGGTTGTACGCAACGTCTAGTAATTCGAGTATTCCTAATGAACGACAATGTGTAAGGTAATTGTCTCCTGCGATTACAACTAGGACCGAACTGCGCCTGGCCAGTATAATGCTATTATTTCCAAAGCGTACGACATATTATTAGGTACAATAATAGCTTGAGGCTCCGAAAAATCTAACAGCTACAACTGCGTATCGATTGTTTATTATTTATTCCGAATTTCATAATGTTTATTGGGCTTGCCGTAAACAGATTAAATAACAGTTCGTTAACTTAAATTATATTTTATATATTATATAATTGTTATTATTATTATTACAACCAACCTGGCACAGCTGTCGCAACATGAGCGTTTTCTGAACGGTGATGCTCAGTTGCAATTTTATATTATTTCTCTCCAAGACTTTTCCGACGCTGATACATACATTGTGTGTGGTGCAACCGATCATCTTTTATACATAAATCATAAAATGTATAACAATATTTTATGAATAAGTGGTAAGCATGATAGGTATGTAAAAATGTAATGCCATAGAATATACAAAAAATGAACAAATATTTAATAATAACACTAATATTTGTGGCTATACAATTTGTATATATTACAGCGGAAAACGGTGTTATGATCGGAAGATGGTATATTGGTGCAAAATTAACCTTTTTCCAAAAGTCGATGTGTAAACCGCAGCAAGAAAAATTTAACATAATACAATCTGCGACAAATCCGATAAGATACATTATACAAACTGTGGCAATTAATTTTATGTACCTACGATATTATATACTATGTATATAGTTTATAATATCGTAGGTATATCATTTAATTAATTATGTTATGTTACATCTTGCGTGTTCCCAAATTTTATTAACATTTATTTTTGATTCATATTTGAATTTGAATTTAAAATTGTTTGACACGATTAATTGTTTTCCATTCTGGCTAAATATTGTTGTAAATTTCATCACATTGAATTAAATATTAAACTTTAAAATACTTCTACAGACATCTAACAATAGTAAGTAGGTGCTAACTAGTACTATCAAAGGAAAAGAAACCGATATTTAGTATGTTTAGTTAAAACTTAAAAATACATTTGCATTTAACTTACCATTTTATACGCAAAACGCAATATAACATAATTGGTTAAATAATATACGTAAATAGGAACACATAGGTACATATTACATACGTAGGTTTATTCGCTAAGTAATTAAAGGTGCAAGGTGAGATGTAGAAAGGTATATGATTTCTAGAACTACATTGTGATACCCTAAATTTTATACAACTAAATAAGTAAGAAGAATCTATTTTTCCAGAAAGCAATCCATTAAGAAATTTTAACCCAAGAGTAGTTCTCCGGCTAGAAAATGTATCCATACTATAGAATTCTGAAACAGGGGTGTAATCGTAGGGCAGATGGTAAATGTAGAATAAATCCAGCAAAACTTAGAAATTTTTTTTGTACTATTTCAAGTAAACAACTTGAAACAACTTGACTTGCAGTATGTGGATTCCAAAGAACAGCACCATACTATAAAATAGGACCGACAAGTGAACAAAAAAGAATTTTTAAAGATAGTCCTAGCTTAAAGTCATGAGCTAATCTTTTTACGAACTCAAGCATCTTGTAAGCTTTACAACATATCATGTTGATATTCGGTCCAGGATCAAGTGAACTGTTGAACTTAAAACTTAGGTCAAATATCGTTTGAACACACGAAATGTCTGTATTATTTAGTCCAAAGGACGAAACAATTACAGCATTTTTTCTAGCGAATTACATAACATGACACTTATTCAAATTCAGAGTTAAGACTAAATCTTGAAACTATTTGTAAAAATTGTTTAAATCGGCTTGAAGTTTTAGGCAATCATCGAGACAATTAATATGCATACATAGTTTCATGTCATCAGCAAAGCAAAATAGTTTACAATGATTTAATACTCTGTTAGTACTATTTACAAATAACAAAAAAAGGATTGAGGACAGATGACCACCTTGTGAAACACCAGAAGAAGACTTTAATACCTTAGAATTTACACAAAATACTTTTACTATAAAATATCTATTACAGAAATATGAAAAAACCAGGATATAAATGGTTCACCAAATCCCAAAGCTCTGAGCACACAGATTAATAGCTTATGATTCACTGAATCAAAAGCCTTTTTGAAGTCAATATAAATTACATCAACCTTACTATGGTTTTTAAAGGCGTCATAAACAAATGAGGTAAATACAAAATTACACGTAAGTGGAAAACGACCCGGGCGGAAGCCATGTTGTTTTCCCATCAAAATGCCATTAATCGTTGGTTGAATGCATTTTAAGAGATTCAAATAATTTTGAGATATGTGACTGTATGGTGATAGGTCTGTAATTCGAAGCACTTGATAAATTACCTGATTTAGGAATGGGTATAACAAAACTTAACATTAGTATTGATAGAAAAGTACCTTCATCCGGTGAACGGCGAAAAAGGGAGAATAGTGGAAATACTATAATTGACCTTATTTGATATAAAAATTCACCACAAATTCTATCAGGTTCTACTGACCAATTTCCTTTAAAATTTGATAGACTATTGAAAAAATCGTCCAGAGAGAAATAAACATCATAGTACAAGTCAAATTCTGAAATATTAGAGAGATCATTAGTAATATTTGTATAATTCATTGACTACACTGATGAAAACATATCAACAAACATATCTGCAACTTCTGTTTTATTAGACAAGACACCATTTTGTAATATTGTGAGATATTTCTTTAGGAATATCATTACAAGCTCGATTTTTTTTAACATATTTCCAAAAGTCACACGCGATTTTAGTCAATAAAGATTTAACACGTTTGTTGTATTCCTTAAGACATTTTTTGGATATCAATTCGAAATGAGCACAAAGTAACGAAAAATTAGAATAGTTTTGATCATTAGAATTAGATTTATACTCAAAATGTGCTTTTTTTCTTTTTGTAGATTGATATTTTAATTCAATCGTAAACCATGGTGGGTAGGTAGTGTTCTAAGAGTTGTTTTTGGGTACAAACTTTAAAATACTAAAAATACTAAATTCAGAGCATCAAATAATGTATTGAATGCTGTCTTGAGATCAAGGGTTGATAAAGTGATATCCCAATTAATCTTATTCAACTTTCCGATATAAGAGGTTACATTAGTGTAATTAACGTTACGAAAACTATAAAAAAAGAGTGATGGTTATCGAAAGGAGGTGTATGATCCGAATAAGGAATAGTTATATTCAACGACGAATGATATGAATCACTAGAGGTTACAGGTTTCAAGGATTTATCAACTGAGAGACAAATATTACAAAAAATAAAATCTAGAATATATGCATGACAATTTTAATTTTAATTTTTTTGGAAAAAACCATTAGACGCAAACGTTCTAGGGGTACAAGCCGCACGTATACTAGAGTTACATGAATAAATAAGACTACAATCATCATTGTTCATAACATTTCAAGTGAATTAAAATCACCTCATATTACCTCGTAAAAAGGGAATTTTTTGACCAAAAATTAAATGGTCTGGGAATGGATGTTGTAGATATCAGAAAGAGAGTTGGGAGGTATATATTAGAGCTCTTAATACACGTGTAAAATTCAAAATAAAAACGTATATCCTTAACTTAATACTGTACTAATAATATTTTATTAAAACTTCAAGTGCATAACATAAAATTACTAATTTTCATCATTATAAAAATGGATTTATATTTGGATAAACACGTATTTCACGTGTACACGTGAATTCCGTAACACGTGTTTTAAGAGCTCTACTATATATACACCTCCAATTACAAATGAATTTTAACCAATAGTGGAACGTACATATACTTGTTCTACACTCAAGTTGGAAATATTTATATTAGTAGAATATATATATTTTCTCACGCCAATTAGAACACCCCCACCCATGGTACATAAACTAGTTAAATTACAACAATAATATCTATATATATTATAATTATGTAAGCCAAGTTCACAAGTAGGAAAATTTTCAGTCAATCAAGTTTCAGAAAGGATAACGAAGAAATAATTAAAAACAGATACATTACGTTTGAAAGTTTAAAGTATATATTGAAAGTATATTAATACGATAACAATATTTGTATTTATTGAGAAGATAATTCAAATAACAATACATATGCATAATATGTGTGTGTGTATTAAACGTAATTTTTGTAATTTTATTTTTATTCGCATACCCTTAATATAGTGTTGTATGTTTTTTAGTGTTTGACGCATCGGCCAAATTTATATCTGCGGGTTGGTTTGATGGATCCACATACAATCTGGGAAACTTTGATGAGTGTGTTGACGTCGAAGTATTTTTGGGCGATGATTATATTCAAGGGCAGTACTGTTTGGTGGAAATCGAGATAAACCCCATAGCCAGTTCCAAATTTAGATCACGTAAACACGTTTATAACGAATCCTCGTGGGACACACTTCAGGCAAGTCATGATCTAATTTCTTCCCTTCTCTATACAAGACGAAAAATGCGGTTTCGATAAAATTACAGTATTGTTAATATTGTTTTTTTTTTTATTTTTAAATTTTTTTTTTTAAAGTGATTTTAATACTCGATGTAATTAAAAACGAACACATATTTTTTACGGTGATCATTTTTAAATACGCTTTACAGGAACTATCGTTCGACCCAAACAAAAGTATGCGGAACAAAATGTATATAGCGCACTGTGTACCGCATACGTGCGACACCGGAGACGTGTCAAAACACATAGCGGCTATCATCGGAAGAATCTCTCAGAAAAAAATAACCACCAACGTCGGGGCAGTCAAGTGTCAAACGAAAACAGAACTAACGTGGACATGGGGCGATTATTCATTTTTGTACGTATCAACAAATATTCAAAAATATTGATTTCATAACATACGTGTACTTAACATTATATTGCAAAATCGACACTACACAAATTTATATAAACCGTATTAACTATATTTTTAACACAGTGCAGAAAACGAACAAGAAAAACGATAGTTACATATATTGAGCAGATTATTTTTATAATTTCAAAATTGCACAATCTGTGAATAGTTTTTAAGTGATAAGCGCGAGTCAAGTATAAAATGAATGCATGCAATGTATGAATGTAAAATAAAATACATTTTTATGCCGAAGCTGGTGTCATGGGCAATAGTGCCGTTCGTTAATTGAACTTTGACTAAACTGATCAACCAACTGTTGGTGTATATTTGAAATATAAAATATTATAAAATGTATGATTTTTAATACTTAGACCATCGATCTTGTTTTTTAAACATTAAACCAGATTACTGCTGTAGATGTAGCCGCGTGGGTAATGTATACTACACCTATAATAGCAGGGAGGCTGGGAAAAAATGTATCTTCGATATTAATATTTTGCACTGCACATTGTACTCGGATATCTACAATACAATTCGTTATCAAAGTTTTTTAAATAGTGTCCAATGAATTACGCATAGTTGTCAATTTCCGGATCTAATTAATGCACGTTTAAAAAATATTAATACAGCTATAATTATGTACTAACTTAGCATAGTAGGTTTTAGCCGTACAGTCTAAAAATCATCCACCCCCCTCCATCTCGTTTTAACAGCGGAATACGTTACAATCGTTGCAGTCGATATTTCGTGATTTCGCATGTCGAAACGAAATTAAATTTAACCCCGTATTATTTATGTATTTTGATCGGAAAATGTATGCAACTACCTGTACAATACACATGTTAAATATTATAAGATATAATGCAGTATACTTTGAATATAATTTGCATACAGCGTAAATAAAATCTAATATGAACAGGAAGTCTATAATTAGTCTATAAGTTCAAATCTGTATTGAATAATGATTTATTTGTCCATAGGCTGATAATTGGATTTACCTTGGTTTTCATCAGCATAAGTACCTACTATGACTTGTTCACGTCAATGTCTTCCTTTGAACATTTTCGGTTTTCGGGTGAGTTTCCAAATTTGATTTCAGTACATAGAACGCTTTGAACGTTGTTAACTATATAGTGATGATTTATATAGAAAAGTCAAAAAAACATTTAATCCTCCAATCATTCTCGCTGTCGAAAAACATACGTAAACTACTTACCTTTCCGAAGACCTCTGACAACCTCGAGTGCATTCACGGACTGAAATTCATAGCGATGTGTTTCATTATTACAGGCCATCGTTTCATGTTTTCTTTAGGAGCACCTTTGATGAACACCAACTTTATTGAATACGTAAGTAGCACTATATAATGTAATATAAATAATCAAAGTTATTTATAAAATGTTTATAATTTTTAGAAATTATTATTTATTTTATAATTAAGTGAGATTTAAATAATTTTAAAATTCATTAGTGCCTATATCAAGACAAGGGCGTATTTGAGTTGAGGCCATGTGGGAGGGAAGGGCAAAACTAATTTTTCTTCGATATAAACTTAAAAATAATTTACAGTTTATTACCTACAGCTCATGTTCCTGTTATAATGATAACATATTATAATAATAAACTAGTAATTTATATTCTTAATTATTTATACAATACATTTTTTTAAATAAATCAATATATCATATTCAAAAAAAATACGAGCTACTTGGGGGGCGGTGAATTCTCCTTTCGCCCCCCTCTCAAATACGCCCTTGAGTGTCGGCTGCGATTCGTTATCTTCGCGAATCCATACAAAATGGTGCACGTGCGTATTTTGATTATAACGTTACCCGTACGACCCAAGCAATCGGTTACACGGTCGGTTATCGTTACACATCCTTAGTGTTATCAATGATTTCGCTTGCACTTGCAGTGTTTCGAGACGACGAGCCCGCCGACATTCGTAGGTAATCGGCTAAATATATCACGTCCGGTTGAAAATCTATAAATATTGTTAATGCGTAACGTCAGCGGTGATCACATCATCAACTTTTCGAACTCGATCACGGTACTCCGTGTGTATTGGTTTCACGTTTTTTTTTTTTTTTTTTACCTACGACGGATATATTCGTATATAAAAAAAAAAGGCACTAAATCACCCGATTATAAATAGTGCTATGTAATAGCCAGCTGGCTATGTATACAAAATCAATATCATATAACCCATAGCGAGTGTTTTCAACGAGTGTAAAACAAATACGAAATATTAATCGAACGTTCATTGTTAACAAGACAACATAACGGAAACACTGTGGACAGGAAGAGAGTAAAAAAAAAAAAAAAAAACGATCAAGAAACGAGGAATTCGTGACAACAGCAGGCACCATCGTATCGTCGACCACACTCAAGACCTACAGTTGATAATACCACGTGATAGAATAGCGATGACGAACCGTTCGGAGAGCGTTTCGACCGCCAAGGACGACGGCCAAAAGTGCAGACTATACGTGGGCAACCTGCCGAAGGTGAAGACTGAAAAAGAGATATTTGATGAAGTGCACCGCATAACACGCGGTCATCTGGTGCGTGTGATCACGTACAAGAACTTCGACGACCCGTCGATGCACCGGGGCTTCTGCTTCTTGGACTACGGGTCGGTGGCCGCGGCTACGGACGCCAAACGGGTACTGTCGAAGCAAAAGGTTTTCGGGTGCAAGACGAAAGTGGACTGGGCGGACCCGGAACCACAGGTTGACGCAGACACGATGGCTAAGGTGCGCATACTGTTCGTCAAGCAGTACGGCGGCGTGCTGGATGAACGCATGCTGGCCAAGATGTTTGGCCGGTACGGGGTCGTGGAGCGCGTGAAGAACATAAAGAATTACTCGTTCGTGCACTTTGAATGACGTGAGGATGCGCAGTCGGCCATGGACGCGCTGGACTGTTCCAGGGACGTGGCTCCGGGCGTGTGCCTCGACGTCGCGTGGGCCAAGCCGCCGGCGGACAAGAAAACGCGACAGCGGATGTTGCGTAACCGGGAACGCCGGGTACGGAAATCCGCGGTCGCGGCTATGAGTCAACCGGTTCGCTACGCCCCACGGCCATCGGGACGCGCACCCGGAACCAAAAGACGCTTTGTCCCCGGCCCCGCTACCGCCGCCTACACCAACTACGACCATCGTGGTTACGACTTCGGACTTCGGCAACCGTGCAACCGGTGCACCCTCGCCTCCACGTTGAGCGTTCCAGTGGCTGAGGCCACGTCCGACAAGCACAACAGCGACAGTGCACGCCGGTGCGGCGCGAATGAGTGCAAGATGGTCCGTCGCGACCATGGAAAAAAGGGTTGCACGAAAACGTCGGACAAGAAACTGTTGAACTTTTACGATCGAATTTCCACGAGCTGCGCCAAAAACGGTTAACGTCACCGTAGTGTTATCTAGCCGTTAACGATGTTTATACGACTCAATATTTCTTGAATGTTTAAAAACCCGCATTTTACGGGAAATAAAAATAAAAATGAAAAAAAAAGTTTTTTCAAATAATTGAATCAACATGGCGCGAGTGTTGAAACAATTGAAACATGAATTATAACACTGATCGATATCATGGCACCCAGATACGGAAAGCGCATCGGATCACAACGTGCATAAACGATGTTTACTTGAAATCAAAACAATATTTCACTATAGCGCTACAGCACGAGTTACAACTAGGATTACAATTCTAAGAGAAACTACGATCCTCCTACCCGAAACCGTTAACGTAAAACAACCAATATAGGGCTCCGCACTTACATACTATCACAACACATTTTAAGTTGTGGGTGAAGCAAAAAACATATTGGCTTTACAACAATTGTTATACTTTGTAGATGTAATACTATCATGAGCTAAGTGCGTCACACATAAAAATAATCTAATTTAATCAAAATTAAAAATATTTTCCAGTTATATAAGTGACAAAAAAATAAAAATAATGATAAAAATGAAACATTTTTATAGATTACTCATTAGCACTTACAGTAAGGACGTATTTTAATTGCGGCCATAGGGGAAGGGGGGCGAAAATAATTTTTGTTTAATGCAAATTTAAAAATAATTTACAGTTCATTACCTACAACTCATGTTTCTGTTATAATGATAACATATTATAATGATAGACTAGTAATTTATATTCTTAATTATTTGTACATTACATTTTTTTAAATAAATCAATGTATCACATTCAAAAAAATACGAATCATAAGGGGGGGGCAATGCCCCCTTAGCCCCCTCTTAAAATATCCCCTTGGATCAAGACTTCTAGAACGTTTTATATACCATATACCAACACAACATGGTATTTTGAGTTTTGATAATCTTGTTTGCTAATAAAGAAAAAAAATGTATTTTAACGATTGTCATGAATAAGTTAACGGGAGTCAAGTGGACTATTTACTATACGAATAAACTAATACAGATCGAAATTAAAAGTTAAAAACATATCGGATACTTTGCCAAAATTTAGTATCTATACTGTACAACTAATTGATTTCCGCGTTCATAAAAACTGCATTGATAATCTACAAAAGAGGCATGTAATAAATGTCACCTATCTTCCATAACCACTCTTATCGATTACATCTCTTATATTTGAAAATTTTAAATTAAGCGTACCATTCTAATTACTATGAGTATTTCTAAATAGCGGTTTTCGAATATAAAAACGTCGTCTAGTCCCCGTATCAAAAACCGTATACTTAATCGGTAAAAAATTATCAATATCGTTAATATTATATATTAAACACTAACATTATATCCAATACGATGATGAAAACTGCATGGAAAACGACAATTTTCATACAACGATAGTGATATTATTATTACTAATTTGGAAGTTGAAAAAACCATCGCGCCGACACGCAATAACATAAAAATACCGGTGTAAAACGATTAATATATTTGCTTTCAGTTTTATAGCAAACTCGAGGCGATGATCATACTTAACGGACCCATACTAGTGGACACATTTTTCATTATAAGTGGCTTCCTCGCGTGTTACTTGCTACTGGAACACATCCAAAAAAACCCAAAGGCTTTCAAAATACCGCTGTTCTACATACACCGTTACGTGAGGTACTGTTAAAATAATACTACCGCGGTAATCCGAAATCAGTATTATGTTCAAAAGAAAATTATTCGCTGCCATAAACATACTTAACGGGCATGGACCAATTGCGCTTAATAAAAGAGTTTTTGTGTAGGGTCAATGTACCGATTGCGCTCCATATATTTTACGGTCAATATACCAATTGCGCTATTCAAATTTGCATACCTTCAGATATGAAAGTACCTATTGTTAATAATCTTGATTTATTATTATAAAAAAGTTTAAATGTGAATTATAGTGTAACTGGTATAACATTAAATTTGAATTTATTAATTTATATTATATTATATATTAACAGTTCCAAAAAAAAAAAAAAAAAAACAGTTAGTGTATTATTTATTTTTATATTTATAACGATAACTTAATTTTGAATGATTGGCGATCAAAAAGTAACTTTTTAAATGTGAAAAAAAAATTATTCATTTATTTATATTATGTATTTATAATTAAACAAAAATCGGTTAGTGTATTAATTTATTGTACAATTATAACCAACTAATAAGTTTTCTTTGGGTGTTGTAAAATGTTTTAAGTGCAATCGGTGAACATTCCGTGAAACATGTACTAACGTTCGGCCCAGTAGCGCACACAAAATTTTTTTTTTGGGTGGGAGGGCACCATTAATAATTTACTATAATAATTAATATCGTACCTGATGTTACCTGATTAATGTTAACCCTATGCAAACACATTGTTAAACGTTTCACGAAAACAGTATATACTATTTATATTTGTACATGGAAAATAAACCCCTAACATATTATTTGTTATTATTCTGAACACTTATAACTTCTTAATTAATCATGAACAATTTGTGAGGTCAACGAAAACTAAACGAAAATTGTTAACCTGTTATAACAGAACAATGTAGGCATAATAGTATAATTTTATAAACGTAATGCCAATCCTGTTTGTAAAATCTTTTACCAAACCTTAGTTAGGTAAGATTAAAATTTAATGAAGGGATACATTTCCGGGGGTGGGGTATGACCTTTTAACCCCCCCCCCTGTGTGCACCACTGATTCGGCCACAAAGTGATATAATCGTTGTGCTGACCGATTGCTGACCGACATTGGCGGCGCTAGGTACGGCCCAGGTTGGGCCATGGCCCTACCACTGACCTGACCTTAGACAAAATAATATAGTCATTTTTCATAAGCAGAAAATATTAAATAATGGGATTCATCTTTTATTGAAATCTCATTTTTAGTGGCCCTACCTTATAATTATTGGCCTTCCGTTGGCCCTACCTAGCAAAAAACCCTGGCGCTGCCACTTCTGACCGACTCACCGTTCGTTACAGATTGACGCCCGTCTACGCGATGGTGATCGCATTCTACTGCACGATGTTTATAAAGATCGGAACGGGACCGTTGTGGAACGAGAAAGTGGGCGAGGAAGTGGAAAGGTGTCGTGAGAGCTGGTGGGCCAACCTGCTTTACGTGAACAATTACGTCAAACCGCAAAAATTGGTTAGTACGAACATTATAAATACGCGCGCGAACAAACGTGTCGATGCACACCGGTGTTGCGACCGATTAGTGCAAAATCTCGGGGGAGAGATTAAATTAGATTATCGGAAGATGGAGATAAACTCCATGGGCGTATTTTAGAGGGGGACAAAGGGGCAATCACCTCTCCCCTCGTGAATCCGTATTTAAGGAATTGATTATATGTGAGATACACATTCCAATTTTTTTTTATGTGGATCATTTTAAAACGAAATCAAATTGCGCGTGGCCGTGAATACTAAATTGGGATTTTCGTCGGGTTCACACTTGGTAAAAAATCAAATAAAACACAAGTGTATCTTTCAAAATACAGACAATTTTTTAAAACTAACTACACAAAATTCAATTCTAAGTGGATCCGACATTAGATTGAAAAAAAAACCAAAATTATTAAGGATTCACATGATTTAAAGAGAACTCGAGAACGGCTTGACCGATTTAACGGATTTTTCTTATTGTATTCGTAACGGCCCGGACAAGGTTTTTACGAAAGAAAATGTTTAGAAATTCTACCGTATAATTCAAACATTTATTACAGTTTTTTTTTTTTTTATTTCATCGAACACGTCATACATTTTACTAACATTTATTACAGTTAGTAAAATGTATGACGTTTTCAATGAAATCCGAAACTGTTTAACCAAATTTTATGAAATTCGGTTCAGATAAGACTTTGAAGAATTTTTTGTCGCCAAAAAAAGGAAAAGGAACCGATCAGTACGATTGTTAAAGCCCGAACCGATGATTGTTGTTTTATTGTTACCATAACAGCCGAAAAAATTGAAATAAACCCTACCGTCACACACCTCAGTGAGCGTCTAGGAAATGGTGAACTTGTCTATTTTGCTGAAAATATTTCCTAAAGCGTCTATCTTCCCCTCCAAAACAACCACTTTTTTTTTATCTCTGCACAAGAGATAAATTTGCAAGAACTTTTCTGTATGTAAAGATACCGACGTATATTACATTTGAAACACGACAGAATTAATGGAAACGCTGAATTAAAAAATCAGTTAGTTTATTAACACTTATTATTACCTCGGTAACAGTAAAACTGTACTACCGAAAACATTAGAAACGTACTGGTGTTATTTGCTTGCTTTTCACTTTATGAATCGCATTTTATTTTAAAGCCACAAAGTATCACGATAACACGATATTAGTAACTAATGTATATTTTAAAATCGAATTTAATTATTTTACACGGGTACGCCTTAGCGTAAAACTCTAGTTCTGCTTATTTTGTGCTGTTAATAATGCACTTCAGGGACGTACCCTAACGAGGAGGGCTTTCAGATTCGATTCCCCTATTTAAGTTGCAGCTAAAAAATACATATTATACCTTTTTTTTTTATTAAAAAATCGGTTAAATTATTAGTTCAAAATGTATTTTTTTCACTCATACTTGACGCCTGGTTTTTTTTTATCCTCACTCCCTATTTGATCAATACCTATAGGTACATCTCTTATAATAGGGATTTTTATGTATTATGCAGGATATTTGGTTTGCATTGAACATCGAGATCGTGTGAGCACATAAATATAAAATAAAATATTAAAAAATATTATAAAATATTTATACTTAGAAGTAAACGATAATTGTGTACACGTTATGTACGTGAATATGAAAAACTAACGTCCGTGAAGGTTATATTAGTCGTAATTTTTTATCGGATTTTTCAGTACATTTCGTGGTGCGATAAAAATGAATAATATGAATAATCACGAACCAATTAACGCAATTTCGCCCTCTTAATATAATAACTGGGTGAAACCGTTCGAATCGGCCATCCAGTAGTTTTTATATACCTGCGAATCGATACTAGTTCCAATCACGAAACGAATATATTTTCGACAAGTCATATTATAATGCCTTTTCGACCGTCACTATCATGTTGAATAACACTTACGAATTTTTCCCCTTCTTCCCGGTCGGGGTTGTACCGCTGTTTTCAGTGCATGATCCAGTCGTGGTACATCGCGTGCGACACGCACCTGTTCCTGACGGCCCCGGTCATCGTCAGCCTGCTGTACCACCGACCAAAAGTCGGGCACACGGTGTTGGCACTCGCACTGGCCGCGTCCATCATCACGACTTTCGTCGTCACGTACTCCGGCAAACTGGACGCGTTCCTGCTGGTGCACATAAAAATCCTGCGCAACCCGATCGCCAACAAGACGTTCCGCAACCTGTACATACCGACGCACACCCGCGCCACGCCGTACTACATCGGCATGATCACGGGCCTGGTACGGTACAAGATGAAAAACTCGTCTTATAAAATCAACAAGGTTCGAACATACTATTACGTATTAAACATAAATATACATACATATATATATATATTATTTATAAATAGGGCCGTATCGTGGTTTTTCGGGGTCAGGGTTAAAATTAATTTGGAGGCCCTTCGACCGTAATAAAAAGATATGATAAATAAAATACTCACTGAGTATAACAAAATTCCTGCAAACGTATTTTTCCAAACCTCAACAAATCAAACTCATTTAAATTCATGTACCACGTTACATACTTACATAATATAATTGAATATTTTATTCATATTGTTTATATATTAATCGTTCAATGTAATCGGACAAGTCGCTACACGCAGCATGTAAAATTGATCAGTGTAATCGAGGCTTATTATTAATTATTATACATCAAGATTTCATGGGGGCCCCCTAAAAAAATATTTTAACAATGGAGCCTGGGGCAAAATGATCCCGTTGCCCCCTCCCCTCTGAACCGCCCTGTTTATAAATACCTCCAATATCAAATTGTACGGTGTAATGTCGCGTATTATTATTATCCGCGGCCTCTGAACTGCTTTTTTGCACCCATCACCTCTTCTTTCGGTCGGTGTACATTGTTTTTCGTTTACTTTCAGCGTACACGCGCAATAGTTTTGGCACGATATATGTCATGTGCACGTGTGTTTGCTGTAGAATTTTCGTCGAACCAAGAACGTTCAAAATAATTCATGACACGAAAATTAACAGCTCTCGTATTCCGTATAATTGGATCGTTTGACAGATGATTCGATGAAAGTTCGTGCGAGCAGATTGAATAGGTTCCGCAAGGTCCGATGGGAAGATTCGCGAACTTGAAAGTTAATTTGCTCGACGAGTCTGAAAACATCGATTTTAATAAATATAGGTTGCTCGGACTGGCTTCGGTTTTTTGCGACCCTAAAATCGGAACGAAAAAATAACACAAGAATTTGAACAAAAATTCGTAACGTTTGTGTAATTTATAAATATATTAAGAAAGAGAACGAATTTTAAAATCGTTAAAAACAGCTTAAATGACTCTGAAGGAGTTATTTTATCGATGGTAAATTGTAATGATCAATTTTAAATTATGCGGTGGCATGCCTAATAAATCCAATGAGTTTAAAAACTCTGTTGGATAATTTACAACTTCAGTAGCATCGCAAACTGTATCTAGATTTGTATGACACCAAGTTTTCTGGTAACAAATTTTGTATCTTGAGATTCGATTCGTTAACCTCCACATTTTTTGCTACTAAAATTGCTCTTTCTGCCAGCCACTCATGATTTGTGTATTGTCTGTGTACACTGGGACATATCTGGTCAATGAGAGCATCTTGCGAATAAATGATTGTGCAGAAATCGTTCGGTAATTTTATACATCCCGTTTCATCTGTAGTAACTTTCCCATCTCCAATATCTAACAATTGTTTTGAGAATCTTTTGCACGCAGCTTTTTTTGATTAAATCGAAATCGAAGTATCGAAATCGTTCGCTATCTATCTTTATATATATTTCGACCATGAATTGTTGACAAAGCTTATGCATCGTAAAATAACTTAGTCCTGATCGCGTCTAATCATCAACCGATATGCATAATAATTTTTTGAACTAACATTAGTTAGTTTTGTTTGTTTTGGCACCTGTTGCGGGATCTTTTTGTTTAATATTTATGCAAAACCCGTCATTTACTACCAAAAATAAAATTAATAGATTTTAAATAGTTTTTAATAGTTTTTTAATAATTTTTTAATAGTTTTATTTAATATAATTCATTTTCAATAGCGCAGTTATCGACCTGGTCAAAAAATATTAAACCGATTTCAACCCTTTAAATTCAAAATTTCGAAAAATCCTTTCTCAGCGCACGTCTCCATCATAATAGCTATCTGTATGCCAAATTTCAGCCAGATCCGTCCAATGGTTTGAGCTGTGCGTTGATAGCAGTCAATCAGCTTACTGTTTTATATATACAGATAATCAATTACAACGAATAGTATAAGTAGAACATGTTTCGAGAAGATATAACGTTAAGGATTTTCGAAAAAAAAAACTCGTTCCAAGATTAGGAACGGTAGGGCAGTAGATCGTGAACACTAGCGTGAGTGCGCAAACCGCATCAATTTTGTTTTCGTCCTCGGTTAAAGTTGTCCTTGGTATTCGCGTGACGTTTTCTGTTTTTAATCCTTTTCAGCACGCGGTGTGGATGGGTTGGATAGTATCGACCGTGCTCATGCCGGGCACGATGTTCTCGGCCTGGTGGTTCTACAAGCCCAACTACGAGTACGATGCCATAGTTGCCGCGCTGTACGGCGCTCTGTACCGAACCACGTGGGCGGCAGGAGTGAGTTGGACCATCATCGCCGTGTCCACGGGCAACGGAGGTAATGATAACACTGACGCCGCATCGATAATAATCAAGTTTTTAATAACGAGTGACGAGTGGTTTTATACTAGACCTCTTAAAACACGTGCCACGTGAAATACGTGTTTATCCAAAATATATATCCATATTTATAATGGTAAAATTAGTAATTTTATGTTATGTACTTGAAGTTTTAATAAAATATTATTAGTACAGCATTAAGTTAATGTTATACATTTTTATTTTGGATTTTACGCGTAAATTCCGTGAGTTCACGTGTATTAAGAGCTCTATTTTATACCAATTCAGTGGATCCGATAGTCTTTAATCGCATTTCAATCGTCGATATTGATACGAATCCCGTTATAACCGTATTGTCGACGGCTGCACATGGGTCCGTTGCCAGAGGTGTGAGCCCGTTACGGGGAAGCTTAGTACTACCTTTACAGTATTGAACCGTTATAATAGAAAATCACAGTAATTCAATCATGAATTAAGTGATTTCACGGACGGGATAATTTTTTGATATTCTAATGCGTTATTGATTTGAAAAGTATGTTAAAAGATGAATCCAACAATGGAACGGTTCGTTTTAACAATATTTGGAGTTGCTGCAGTGTTGAACTGGGGCGTCGACATAGGTGCTTAACGGAAAAAATCGATATAAAGACGATGTTTTAAATTCCTGCAGGTTTCATCGAACCGATCTTGTGCTGGAAACCGGTGATCACGTTGAGTCGGCTGACGTACTGCGCGTTCCTGTGTCACGGCGGGCTGCAGCTGTACACGGCTGGTTCCATCCGGACGCCATTCCACGCTTCTTACTACAACCTGGTAATACGAGTTTGGTCTCGGGTTCGAAGGCCCGTTTTGCATTATAAATCGGGTTCGCACTGCATCGCGCTGTGCCGTGAAAAATAATTGTCCCTGTTACTTGGCGGATCCGCATGATCACATTTTTGGCGCCGAACAAAATATTAAACGGTCTTGTCAACAGCCACCAAATTTACAACTTACAACCCAACCCGTCCAAGGACGTATCTTGAGAGGTTGGGAATTAACCGCCTCCCAAAAATGTTTAAGTATTTTTTATGATATTTAGGTAACGAAACTTTTTGAATATTCGTTACTAAACGGGCAGCACTGTAATTTATAGTTAATTGGTTTGATTGACTTATTACTCGTACACTAATCCACCACCGCCTTACAAAAAAAATGGTCTGGTCATTGACTAGACATGAACCCCGAGTTTGGCGCCACTGACATATGGTATACATTGCATTTATTACGCGCAACCGCAAAGTTGATTTCATCCAACTTCTGAGCGTATGGATTATATGATTGTCAGATCCGTCCTAAAAATATTTAGGACCTGGGGCGAATTCCTTCGAGGACCGCTCAGTCATCACAATAATATGCGAGTATGATAAAAAAAATACACACAAGTTCATAAAATGTTGGTAAATATAGCTTTCCAAACTTCAATCAATCAATCAAGGTCATTTAAATGCATCGGTACAAAGAATTACGTTTTTAATGTATTCCCAGTCACCGCATTAAATAGAAATTTAATTTACTCCTAGATTATTTATGAACAGTAATAAAAAATAAGAACTCGGATGTTTTCGCGTCGACACTTGCGATAACGAATTGATCATTATATCCGGTTCGTGTCATCTTTTATGAATTTTTTTTTTTCCGAAAGCTGAAACACACTAGGATTTTGACGTGCGCGTTTAACGCGTAAACAGATATCATTCTACTGTTATGTTAAAAAATCATCGATCTATTTTAAAAATGTCAAATCACAGACAACATTCTCCTCTGTCGGGTTTCGACAAATAACCCGAATAAAATTCGATGGATGTATATTATGTACACATATGTTATTATCAGCAGTAGTGAACTAAACTTACATTTTAAGTGACGCATTTACATATTTAAGTACTTACCGCCACCAACCCCTAATGCCTTACCTCACGAATCCATGGGGTTGTTTTTCAACCCCTCAGTTTCAAATTTACTTGTATTATGATAAAAATAATATTATACCTACTTTATACGTATTAGATAGGAAAATATTTGTCTATTTTTTTCGTATTCATTGCAATAAACATCTGATTTTGAAAGTAAAACTATTATGTAAGTATAATATTTATAATTTATACATACAATTCATTCCAGTAGACATTATAATGCGTACCATCTATATTTATATATTTTATTATCTTAATATGAAACTTACTGTTTATACTGTTATGGTTTGTTAGTCATACATACGTACATTATTTACTTATAATAAATCATGATGTAAATAAAATGTTCCGCCAAAGCATTAATGTGCGGACCTTAACAAATGACTCAGCGTCTTAGGCACGGAATGGCAACACCACCTTTGAAAAGTTGACGCACCCGTGTCAAAATTGAGCACTTCGGCCCTCCACTGATTATCAGTATACCATATACTATGTGTTTTATGGGTTTTGTGTTCGAGAATAATTTTCTCGACGAATTATATTACAACGCACAACGGCCTTTTGACGCGTGGAAAACACACACAAATCGCTTTCGAACAATAAATTGAAATTTATCGTGGGTATTTCGTTTTTCTACAAAAGTCGTTTTCATTAGTCCGTGTGTTCTCTCTCAGTCAAACACTAAACATAATACAATATTACGAGATCCGAGTGTAATGTCTAAAACACAAACCTTTTCTTTCCGTTCAGGTTTGGCTATCGCTCGGAGACATCACCCTCTCGTTCCTGGCGGCGTTCTGTTTGACATTACTCTATGAATCGCCCATAATCGGATTGGAAAAAATTTTTTTCAACAGAGGTTTATATACATTTATACTCATTTCAAAAAAATATATATTATTGTATAATACTATACCGGGTGACGTTACGACGGACTTGGGTTCGATTTTTGGGTTTCAGGGAACAAATCATGTTACGAGAAAAACGTTACGACGACCAAAGCGAGCGACTTGAATCCAAAGCCGGACAAATTTCGACAGATAAATAATAACGGTTTTCTATGACAGCTCACCGTAAACGTCTTCTTCATTCGAGATGTAATTTTGTATTTATTTTCAACGAGTTTTTATACAATTTGAGTTTGTAAACTATGTACCGTTACCTGCTCAATGTATCAACCACTGTAAATGTTATATTTTTACAATCAAATTACACGTATATAAACTTATATATATATTATAATATTAATTTAAAAAAATTGTTATTATTGTTATGCGATTTATTTGATTAAAAGATTTCCTCGCATGTGTTATGTTAATCGTTAAGTTAAGAAACACATGTGTTCACAATAAAATTAAATATTATTTTTATTTAAACATACTCGTGTAGTTAGTTTACACCCATAAAACATGTGTATTTATTTAATATTGTACATACCATGCAAAATAAAAAAAATTTATTTAATAAACCAAACATAAGTTAAATCAAATGTGGTTCTCTTTGTTTCATATTTTATAACCCACTAAATATTTAATTTTCAGACATAATTACATACATACATTAATTAAAACAACCAAACTATAGTATATACTCGTGTCAACTCGCAGTATAACCAATAAAACTGTCGTTCCCTTGATAATCTCGTGATATAACAAAAAATTAAATTTATTTTGTCCCCTCAATAAAACAAAGTTTTTTTGGTCAAAACTCTCGCAATGTAACAAATTTTTAAAATTTTGGAGCTTGATATTACGAATTTTTTTTGGCTATTATTATGCGATAAGATAATGTTAATCTCGTAATTTATAAAATACACATCTGTTAAATATAAATTACGCTTGTTATTACGGAGTAACTAACCCTATTTTGCAATTTTTCAACCCCCTAATTAATAATCATGATCAAATTTAACTCAAATGTCTTTCTTATAATAATAAATAAAATGAGAGGGTGAGAAATCAAAAATATTATTTTTTCTTCACCTATAACTAAGGGCCACCTTTAAGTACATAATAAACAAAAAATAAATTTTAATTAAATAATAACTTATGTATGTATGTATGTATCTAATAAAATATGTAGTTATATCTAATATGTAGATATGTACGTAATCATAAAACTCTAAATTTTCTTTTAAATTTCGTTTAAACGAATTTTGTTGATTTATGATTTTGATATTACTAATTTCGGTGAAACAAACTTTAGATGTACTGAACTTTTAACTTGAAATTCGTTATATAGCGAATTGATAATACTCCTTTAATAATTTTTCATAGTCAACAGACTTTTAACAAAAAAATATTGATTCGAATATTATAATCTTTCAAAAAAATTACGATTTGAACTTTTATTTTTTCAATAACATTACCATTGATTATAGAATAGACCTATTCCATAATCAATACTATTACCTAAAAAACCTAACAAAATAACTTAAACCAATACAATGTTCGCATCAGATACTAAATTAGTGAATCTGATTCAGTATAATGGTAAAATAAGTACTAAATTAAGTAAATAAGATGTAATGCCAACCAGTCTTATTGAATTTAATTTTAGGTAGTGGAAAAATGTAGCAATTTTAATTAGTTATGCTAAGAATCTTGGCACAAAATTAAAACAATTATAGATTTTTGAGTTATTCTTAAATAAAAGTTAAATTTAAAAATTATAAATTGTAATTTTTTACTTAAGTAAAAAATAAAAAAACTAAAATTATAAAAAAAAAAAAAATGACAAAATAAAAATTGAAAATTATGAATAATCTTTATTAATCTTGTGAAATGAATTAGTTTAATATTTAACCAATTTTACATTATTTACAAAAAAAAAAAAAAATCAACTTCAAGCCCTAGTTAATAAGAATAAGTTATTTATACTCTTCTTTTAAATGCAATTGTAGGTTTTGTCTACATGAACTGCTAGTGTCCAAATCACATAGATTCAACAACCAAAAACTATTTGGCAATCAATCTATGACTGACATTTTGAAGCTTTGAGTTAGGTAAAAGTATACTACAGAACAGCCAGGAGTTCCAATAAAATTATATTTCAATTTACAAATATCTAGTTAACTTAGTAGAATATATGAGATCAATATATCCGTTCTATTGTCAAGTAGACATGTCATGACAAATTCAAATCTACATTAATTTAATCAAAAACGGTGAGTAGTTCTTTCAAAAAGCAGACTATACGCAATATTTTTTTATAGTTCTTAATGTATAACTTTTTAATCCAGTTAGTGACCATTCAATTTAAGATTTATATACCAAATTAAGATACAAATTAACAAAAAATAGTGTGTACTGTATAGCATGATGATCAATGAGTAAATACCCGGTTTTTCTTAAAATCATGAATAACCATAGTAAATATCTTCAATAATATGATTAACACAACTCAATTATTTTATAATACAGAATTTGCAATTAAATAAAATTTTAAATTGGTTACAAATTATTAATTGGAGAGCGATATTCACAAAACATATATTATCAATTAAATATAAAATAATTCAATTATTTAATCTAGGTATATTGTATATTTTAAGTAAACCAAACAAATGATAGGTACAATGAATAAAAATAACTTACAAAAGTCAACTTATTATATAAAGCTATTGTGATCTTTTGGGAGAACCAAGCAATCTTGAGTAAAAAAAATTATATTAGATTATTAAAAAATATTGATTAAGAATATTTCTGCAGAATACTAACAGAAATTAAAGTTTCATTATAGGGAACAATAATAAAATTAGAGCATACTACAGTTCAATACTTTGAACCTGTATTATCATCGTTTTAACTTTTATCTTAGGAATGTGACGTGCGACGTTGTCTTGGCGAGTAACTCCTGGAACGTGACCTTGAAGGCGGAGCACGACGTTTTGGTGAACGCGATCGTGATCTAAAATATAGTTAAAATAACTATGTATCATAACATCACAAAATATTATAATCATTTCAGCTTCACACAGGGAAAATGTAACATACTTACTTTAAACTGCTCCTAATAAAAAAAAACTTAAAAACATTTCATAGGTAATTGTTTAAAAAACAAAACAAAAAAAAACTAAATACCTTTTAACTTACAACTCTCAGTTTTGAATGAAAGAATAATTAATACCACATGTTGTTTAGATGGAGAGTGTGAGTGGAGACGTTAAAACAGCCGAGAAAGCATAAGAGTGCTTGCGAAGAGTTGATCGTAGGGTAGAGGTGTTGGAAGAATATTGTAGAATAGTGTAGAATAGGCTGTTTCCGCCAGCATGATGTTAAATAACACGTAACGATAATTCAATTCGGTAGAATTGATGGAGCGAAGTACAAAAATGTTGGTCAAGTCCTATTTTCAGTGTGAGGTTTTTTATAAGATGGGATGATTAATTTTTTTAGTATGGGCGATAACCAATGATCCTTTTCCTGTAAATTATCCCAAAAATAAAAAAGATCCAATTAAAGCCCAATTAGAAAAATAAACAAATAAATAAAAATAAAAATTATTTTTTTAAGTTAACAGGTAGTTGAACCTCATAAAAAATAAAAGAAAAAATTTACCAGAACAAGGTAGGATAAGGAAATTAATTAAAATAATAAGTTATAAAAAAAAATTAAAACAAGGAAGGCAAACACATTTAGAAAATTTTTCTTTATAATTGATCTATAGGAATACAGAATTTATTGAAAGATTTGCTAGAAAAAAGGTTTAGCCTACAATGAACATTAATTTTCATTGAATGGTTATTTTATTTTATATTTTCAATTAAACGCAATCTTAAAAGTAGACTTCACCCACTATTCCAACAAAAAATTCAAATTAAAATATTTATCTAAAAATAAATGATTAATTAATTAAATGTTACCTGTCATTATACCTATCATTATAGCGTGGAGGACCTCTGTTATATCCACCGCCGCCACCACCACCTCCTCTGCGATCAACACCTCCACGACCATCTCGTCCACTACGAGGTCGGTTGCTAGACATTTCAACACGCACGCGGACTCCACAAATACGGCTAAAGTTACAAAAATTTTTAAGTCAAAACAATTTTGCAATATAATTTTACTAAATTGTTCTTACGTTCCATCAAGACCTCTAACTGCATCTTCAGCATCTCTTGGATCTTCAAATTCAACAAAAGCAAAACCTGGTGGATTTCTGGCAATCCATGTGTTTTTCAATGGACCATACTTGGTAAATGATGCTTCAATTTCGTGTTTAGTACCATTTTGTCCCAAATTACCAATGTAGACCTTGCACGACTGATCCCAGTCGCGATGAGACATATTTTCTTAAGTATTAATTACAGTATTGCTACAAAAAAAAAAAAGAAAAAAAAATTAATTTAAAGAAAATTATAGGCAGTAAGAATATATGAATCATTTGCTTGCCAAGACCAACTAAGCCACTTTTCAAATCTTAAGTACATCAATAAATATTTAGCGATTTGAAAAGGCATGCTCAAATATATAAAATGTAAATAAGCTTTAAAAATAATAACCATATTTTAGTTAAAACAAACTTCTTCTAACAATAACAAAAATAAATTTAATTAGTTTTAAATAACTATTTAAACTGAAATAATATTTTAATAAAATTACAAATTTAAATTGACTTGTTATCTACAACAAAATGTCTTATATTTATATTTAAATACTTGAAATTATCAACTATAACAAAACTATACATACATAACTGTAATTAGGATTTAAATCCCAGTCATAAAAAAATAACCATGCATACATATATATATTTATTAATTTTAAACCAAATATTAATTTCTTTGTAAAATATTTCTTAAGTTTATCTCTAATAAGAATTTAAATGCAAAATAAAAAATAATTACCAAAATTATGATACATCAAATGTTTAAAAACTGAACTCTCCTAAAAAATAATATTGATAATGATTTATTTCAATAAATTAGAAACTTGAATATATTTTGTTTGAATTATCTAACTAAAATAATCAATAAAATAAAAATATCAACCTTACAAAATTGTTTTAGATTCTTAATATAACAATCTGAAACCATAATAATAAAATAAATAATATAAATCATATTAATACAATTATTAAATCAATATTTGAATGGGACAAAAACAAATTTATCAATAAAAAGAAAATAAATTCATTTTAACTTAAAAATTAAATACAATGTAGAAACTAAAATATTTAAATATATGTAAGATCTAAGTTTAAAATATTTTTAGATTGAAGAAAGAATCCAAGAAACTATTATATAAACCTCTTATTCAAAACTACAGAGATTTCTGGTTTAAATCATATAATTAATTGCATTTAAGAAGTGAATATAAGTTAAACTAACATAAAAATAAATAAATGCTTAAAAATGTTATTTACTTTTATATTTTATACTAATTTGACAAAGTATTAATGGAGTAAATTAAAATAACATTAAATTATTTTTAATATTTATAATTTATATTTATTAGATATTGTACAACATTTATAATTTCTAACATGATTATACTTATGTTAATTATATTTTGATAACATAACATAATTCAATTTTGTTGATTTTACCTATAAAAACTATTTTACCCATTTTTTTTTTTTTTTACAAAACTTACCTTTTTTAATACTTTTAAAAATGGTTTTATAAATTTCATAAAATAAAATTGTCAAATTGTTTGAAGCCTGAAATACATGATGTATTGATGTATATTGTTTATATATCTTAATGTTTATTGATATTATTGTATATATAATAAAAACAATAGTTTGATTATTTTTAAAATTGTATCGATTTCATCATAATGCAATTATTAAATTTATCATATTTACAATGCGTACAGATAAGATTATAGTAAATTTAACACAAAAAATATTGAGAAATTTATTAAAGTTATTAAAAAAAAATACCGTACTTGAAACCATAAGTATAATAAATGATTTACTGACTGAAGAAAGAAAACTGTTAAGATGGTTTACCCTTAAACTTGACGGTAAGCAATTTAGTTTATTTTAAGTACACTCCACTCACATAAACCGACGTAAAACAATGTTTTTCAAAATACTGTAATCAATTTTACTACTTTTTCACTACAACAACATCCGTGCTCTATACTTAATATACAACTAGCGTAACAGAAATCTTAATAAAGATTACTTGAATATCACCAGTTTTTTATTATAATAACCACATTATGGCTATTAAATAGATAAGTAATTAGTAAAAAAAAAAAAATGAATGTAGTAAAAAAAATTTTCCGGTACCTACGCATGATAAAATATTCAAAAAATTCATATTGAACTTGCACACATAACATCAACAGCTAGAGAATGTATATATGCATAGGTTTTGCTAAAATTTCTAATACCACAGTTAGGTGATTGTGATTTATACATAATCTATTAAGTTTTTTTTCTGATATAGTTATTGATCATATAGTGAACAAAATAAATTTGAATACAAATTTTTTTAATAACACAATTAAGATATATTACCAACACAAATAGCCATTAATAGCAGGAAGTAGACACGTTTTTAGTATTAAAAACTTCTTTCTCCCTTCGCTTGGATAAAACAAGTTTAACAGGCATAAATCTTGAAATTTATGACTTTCCAAACAAAAAGGTAAGAAAAAATACAAACATACATATATAAATACACACCAATTTAAGAAATGTACCTAGAGGGGAACAGTTTCGATCACTTTCTGGTGGACTTAAATTTTTACGCAAAAAACTAACTGCGGATCAATCGCCATTACCGGACGGGAGCGAGAAAAATACCGAAGACTTTAGGCGATTAAAGAATCACACGTCTGCGTTGTCATATTATGTGCAAAGTTCAACGTAACAGTTAACTCTCGAAAAAAACAGAAATTGCTCCCATGAGATTAAGGGAAAACACAAGTCTCGCTGGTTCACCCCGCAGTTGTCGCCGCGTCGACAAACCACATAAAGCCCCTACCGGCAAACAATTTCGTTCGACATCGAACCGGTTCGAATGAGGGCTCGGGCCGCGAAAAATCGACGGCAAACCACGGCGGAAAAAACGTCCCGTCGCACGATGCCGAAAACGATTCATGGTTTTCATCGTTATCCGGAAAACCCAGCCCCGGCGGCAATCGCACGAGTACGCCGCGACGGATGTTCGCAAACTACCCGTCACATTAAACATTCGTGCTGCGCACGGAGATGTACGTACGGCGAGCTAAAACATTATACTCACGTTTGGAAATGTCGATGATCTTCAAGACCGGTGAACTCACTCGCCGGGAAGAAACGGAACGGTATCAGCGAGCAGTTGCGTGTGCAAAACAGTACCGCCGCGTGCGGTGTGCTGGTGATGAAGGAACGAAAATATGTATAACGTTACGACGACGATGGGAGAGGAGAGAACAAAAAAAAAAAAAAACCAGCAGCAATTAAACAGGAAACGTGAGCCGCGGCGGTAGTGCACAGCGGTAGGAACGTCGGCACGGGTAGCTGTTGGCGACGGCGGTCGGCAGACGCAGTCATATATAAACAAAATGGATGACGACCCGGACGCGATGGTGCGACGTTGCCGGCAGGCGTTCGTTGATGGAAACAAAAAAACGGCAGCGCCGACCGGCAACGTCGCGTTAACAACAACGGCCAAGAGTCGGCGGCACGCGTTATCTGCGATCTTTAAGCGCGCACGTTGATTCGGTTATTATCATAATACGTTCGGTACATTCCTAAATAATGAATTTAAATCCCAATCGAACGATACGATCGGACACGGGACTTGTTGAACTGTATGGTTCTCGGTTTGACGAAACAATTCATGTTAATGCTCCCACGTAAACTTTATGGTTTCGTCATCATACATTCCATTTCTGTGTTCGTATAATCGCGTCCGCCGCTTTGCTATGATGCGATTAACTCCGTTCTACGTTCAGTACGGTTAGCCGAACAACGGCAACAACAAAGAGTGTAATGGCTTGCCACCGGTTCAAACCGTTTCGTTGCGTTCCCGAACCTAAACGGTGGCCTCTGCTTGGTCACACGCACCTTTTCATCCCGAAAATCGGTAAGCCGCACTTTTCACTATTCATTGTCGCTCCCTAGAAAAAATCGTTCACTATCCATTTATTTTTCTCAGGTCCTTACGATTCTCTACGGTTAACCGAAGCTATTGGCGACATAGAACGCTCACTGGGCCCAGTGTTCCGGCTGACATTGGGCAGCAAGACAATGGTCATTGTCACCCGGGTGGAAGACGCCAAAATAATGTTTGCCAACGAAGGCAAGCACCCGGCTAGACCTGTGTTTCCGGCTTTGAACCTGCTCAGAGAGAAACCGTTTGGCACCGGAGGGATTGTATCAGAGTTAGCATGATACATTTTGCAATATTATTATTATTGTTTTACAAAGTGTGTTTGTTTTTCATCTAACCTTCACTAATGATTAATATTAACCATTTGTAGATACCGTATATGTTTTTCATGGTTTAATAAGCTCACGGGTCAGCAGTTCAAGGTGAATAACAAATGTAAACAATTGTTGTTGACTTGTTCGTAGATGTTTGTTTTATGTTTAACATAGTGTTTGCTTACAATAGTCTTGTAGTACAAGCATTCCAAACGTCTCTTGATTGAAAAATATTGTGATTTAGATGTTATAGGAAAATAATTGTGTAAACATATTATAATGTTTGGCTTTGTTATATTTGTAGTGATGAAAAATTAATCTTCTACACAATTGTTAAAAAATATTAATCTGGTTATAGGAATGGTACTGAATGGTATAGGCTGAGAAAAGCCATTGCACCGTTAATGAAAAAAAATATCTATGAGAGTTACATTCCACAACACAAAGAGGCTGCAATGGATTTCATTGAGTATATCAAATCAAACCGTGACAAACAAGGATGCCTGAAAGATATATTTTACCACCTAACAAAGTTTTCTGTTGATGGTAAATGAAAACAACACTGAATATTTATTTATCTACACACGTCTTTTATATCCACTTTCTTTTTTAAGCAATTTCCATTGTCTCGCCTGGCTTAAGAATCAAAAGCCTGAATACAACCATGTCTGAATGTTATGTAGAAGCGGGTAATAAATTCATGGACGGATTGTATAACAGTCTTAAAGAACCGCCCATATGGAAGTTTTATAAAACAAAAGCGTACAGAAATCTAGAGTCCTCGCATTCCACTTGTAAAAAGTAATAACACATTGTTGATCACATCACATAGCCAATTCTATCACTTGTAATATTCTCAGTTTTATAGATGAATACTTAAACCAAACACATGAACACAATCCTCTAGTCAAAGCCATTTGTTCAAACCCAAATTTATCAAAAACCGACATCAATTTAGTTTTGCTGGAAATATTTTTTGGCGGAATTGATGCTGTTAGTCTTGCGATTTTTGAATCTAAACCAAAAAATTAAACAATAATTTTTATTTAGTAATATTTATTTGTGCAGACTGCTACTACGCTAGCTATGACATTAAATTATATTTCCAAAGATCAAAAAATACAGCAATCTTGTCTGGAAGATGTCCAACAAAATAGTGACAAGTATTTAAAGGCTTGCATTAAGGAGACGCTAAGGTTGTCACCCACTGCAGGTGCAAATGCCAGATATCTCCCCAAAATGACTGTTATTGGAGGTTATGAAATCCCAGCAAATGTGAGCTCGAAACTATATAGTTGTAAGTACAATTGCTATAAATTTATGTTTTCTTTACAGACATTGGTGTTAGCATTCAACTCTTTAATATCTGTAAAAGAACAATACTTTGAAGCTCCTCTAGAATACCGGCCCAGTCGATGGCTGAGAGATTCAAACAGTGAAAAGTTTGATCATTATGCTTCATTACCTTTTGGACATGGCCCTAGAATGTGTCCAGGACGATACGTTGCCATGCAAGAAATGACAATACTCTTGACTGAAGTAGGGTCAACTTAATGCGCTTTTATTTCCAGATGAAACAAAATAAATATTACTAATTTATAATAATTTATCATTTTCAGCTGATTAAGAATTTCAACATCAGCGCGCCAAGCGAACAATCCATAAACGTGGGCATGGTCTACCGTATGAACAGAATACCAGACACTCGTATAGATCTTGTATTTAATAATCAGTTTTAAACATGTTAATTATACGCAACACATTAATTATTTTCTTTATTTTTATTTTTTCAAATTTTCTCTAAACAATCTTCAACTTTTGTGAAATAAAAATGTATTACTAAATATATAAAGCATGTGCTACTAAATTGTATATATCTTTTATCTTATATACAAATATAATTACATAATGTATATCTATATTTTATGATATTATATAATAAAAATAAGACATTTTTTTGTGATATATAGATAACATTATTTACAAAAATATACAATACCCACATATATCATACTTAAACGTTACATTGTATTTGATTAATATAATTTTTAAGACAACACATTTAAAATATGACAAACAATTCGTTGTTGTTTTGTTTAATAACAAATAATATGCAAAAAAAAATCTAACAAGTAAAAAATAAACAATGGTACTTTGTTTTACAATTTTTTTTCTCATTAAATTGCAATTATAAATTTCAAAAGCATTAATTTTCTTTTTTTCAATTTTAAATCTTACAATGAGATGACAGATGAGATCAATGCGAGAACAATATCTTGTCATAAAGTTTTAAAAAAAAAAATTTAGGTAAATGATGGTGGTAGTAGTAATATAATAATAATAATAATTATAATATAAATAATAATAATACATTTTTTGATAAAATAATTTTTCTTGTACTTTCATTCAAATAAAAATAAAACATTCAATATGCATGAATTTACAGAGTGTACGTTTCAAATCGCTGTATTCGTGTAAAATTAGTATTATTTGAAAAGTTACTCACTAATTTTTTTTTTTTTAGTAGTTCATACAGAATGTACATAACAATAATACTAATACGTAGTAGAGCATGGAACAATTTTAACAATTTGATAGAGTTAAATTAAAATAAATACAAATAATTTATGTATGTATTGGGTTATAAGTATTGACAGATTAACAAAAGGTATATCGCGCAATAAAAATGGCCCAAAAGAATAAAATAGAAGAATTAACACAATACTCATCAATAATCAAAATAACATCATAAATAAAAATAAAAAAATCATAAATTTATATTACAATAAAACCATTAATAGTTTATAACAAGTATGAAAAATAGGTGTTTGGATATAACTAAATGTTCAAAATTAAAATATAAATGTAACAAAGAAAAAAATAATAATTAAATTATCAATTCACAATTGCACTGTGGTTCATCGGAAGAAGTTTGATTGTTTACGGAGGAATAAACAGAATTATTTTACTTTTACAATGGTTGAAATGTGCATATGTAATAAACTATAGTTTAGAACAATTACAATTGTTATGTTTTCATAATGGAAGACTAAGTTTTTTTTTTCAATACTATGTATAAAAAAATCAACATCAATATTACATACATTAAACTCAAATTAAATAAAAACTATAGCTGGAAAATAAAACAGTCGAGCAGAAAATAAATAATACTTATTTGGAAAGCATTTAAAAAATTTTAAAACCAAAATAATTTGACAAAAAAAAAGGAAAGATTATTATTAATAAAACTATCATCCTCGTGATAAAAATCAAGTAAGATGACTTGACATAAAATATAAAAATAATATATTTTAATAAATAAGCAATTATACCAAGGAAATGCTAAAACATATCTAAGTAGAATTAATTACATCCAAGGAGGATGTCTATTCATAGGATCATGCATATTTAAATAACCTGGGGGTGGAAAACCTGCTAGCCCTTGGTGCAACATCATTGGATGCCTCTGTAACAATTGTGAATAAATTTCTGAAGGATTAGGAGGGTTGTAAGCTTCTAATGGAGGAGGAGCATAACCTGACGGTGGCCTAGCAAAAGCAAATGCAGGATTTCTTTCATCTGTTTGTGCCGCCGCCGCTGCTGCTGCTGCAGCAGCTTGGTCAGCAAAATAGCCAGTTGATCGCATTTCATTCAGATAATCTTGATATCCATCCTTGATGGCTGGATTGAAGTTGAATGCTCCAGTAGACATTGGTGGTTTCACTAGTGGAGAGTAATGATGTGGATATGAAGGGTCAGCCCGTGATGGGTCTACGCCTCTAGGAGGTTCCATTACGGCTGGGGGAACTGCAGTTGGTGGTGGCAGTGATTTTTGCGTGACGGCTTTTTTTTTCTTACTAGTCTTTTTGGCCGGTTTAGAAGGCACTGGTTCCATCATTAAAGACCTATTCATTTCCATTTTTGACTTTGTCATTTCAGCCACTGATGAATTTGGAGGGTAAGCTGGTGGTTGATTAGCTTTCATCATATCTGCCATTGCTGAATTAACATAGGTTGGTTGGTTCGCTTTAATCATCTCGGCCATAGTCGAACTTGAATAAGTAGGTTGGCTTATTTCCATTTTATTTTTTATCATTTCTGCAACAGATGGTGGTCCTGGATATGCTGACTGATTATAACGGAAGGGCATATTTCCTGGCATGAGATTTGGCAATGGCCGACCAGTAGTAAAATCAATATTTTGCGACTTATTTGGTATCATGTCTTGTATTGGATGTGGATAAGATTTACTGGGTAGTACAGGATAATTATAGGGTCGTAGATTAATTTGATCTGGGTATTGTTCATAAGGATTATTATAGTTTAGTCTTTGTTGAGTAGTTGGCTGCTTGTAATCAGGGGGCATAAATTGTCCAGAAGTGGTTCGACTTGCATAGTTCAATGGAGCTGTAGTATAACCAATAGCATCTTTAGAAGGATTTGAATAATTCAAAGGAGTTGATGTGTAGTGAGGTGCTGGTGCCGATACAAAAGTTGAGTTAGATGCTGTATAGTTAAATATAGAATTCGGCACATTTTTCTGTTCATTATCATTCCGGTTACGAGCCATTTGTAAGTAGTCAAGACTATTTTGGTATGTGACCGGCACTGGTGAATGTTGATGGTCCATATTTTGCTGATAAGGAGGAAGAGGTTGCTCGTTACGCGGGTAAGCCATTGAATAGTTTAATTCAGAGTTAAAATTAGAATTAGGCATCTGGCCGGGAGTAGGTACAAACACTCTTTCTTGTTCCTTGCTAGCTACAGTTGGAGTGAAAGCCACCTCTTGAGGCTTCTCCTCTTCATTATACACACGTTTCTTTACAGGATATATATTTTGAGTTTTAGAAGAAGCAGAACTTATTGATTGTTGTTGTTGAGAGTATAATTCGGTGTATGTATTTTGAGGTGAACTTTGTTGTGATCCAATATACTGGGAGTAAACATTTTGATTTTGTTGATAATCGTCTGCTAAACTGGCCACTGGTTCCTTCGGACTATTAATTATGTTATGAGGACTATAATAAGGACTATTACTTGAATCTTGAGGACTCAATATTAAATGATGTGGGCTTTCTTTAGGACTGTTGACAATGTTATGTGGACTACAACTAGCTTCATGAGGGCTTCCGACAAAATTACCAGGACTATCATTGGTTAAATCACGGGGGCTACTAAAAATCTGATGTGGACTTTGACCATGAGGACTTGTTGTCATTACACTAGAAGGATTTCTTGGGCTACAACTACTGCTTTTTTCAGAATTTGGCCTAGCAAAAGCATCTTGATAGAAACCAACTTTGATAGGAGCGTGAGGAATGTTCAAAACGTTTTGATAAGGCTTTAACTGTTGTGGGGAATTGCCAGATTGTGGTGATAAATTAGATTCATCTAAACTAGGACGAGGAGAGTTCCAAGAATCGTTTTGGGACGACTGTTCTGATACACTACTGCCAGTACTTGTCTTTCTTTGTCGTTTTGAAACTGGTTTATCAGGTGAAATTGATGGAATAGGCGTAGTAATCTTCTTGCTATCTACTTGAGTTAAGTTTTCTTTTTTTTCTGTATCTTTTAAAGTATAATCATAAGGTACCATATCATTCATAGCATAAGCCGTGTACATGGGCGATGTGTCAATAGCTTCTTGTTTGCGCTTTGGAGTTGGTTGTGTCTTTGGTGCTCCAAATGCTTTAAACCAAGCACTCAAATTTGGAGTAGCTTTTTCTGGCTTTTCTTCGGACACTTCTATTGGTTTAATCTCTTCTTTTTTATCTATATTATTTTTATCATTAGGACTTTTTTCAGGTTCTTCCTCAGTTTTTTCTAAGTCTTTGTCTTCACTTGACCTCTTTGAAGAAAATCCCATAAGGTCAGTGTTCAATACTGTACCTAAACTTAGAGTGGGCGCTGTTTCTAAATCGGCTCTAATCAGTTTTTGTTTGGCAATACTTTGGTTATCATCAGGTTTGTTTGAAATTAGGTTACCTTTACTTTTACCAGGTTGTAAACGATCAATTGTTCTTTGAATTTCTCGCTTTCGTTTTACAGGCAATACAACAGATTCTTTAGCTGGCCGCTTTTTTTCCTTTAATAAAATATAATTAAGTATGGTGTTGCATAAAATATAATTTATAAATATTAGTAACATACTTTGAATGGCAAACGTGGCTTATCAAGCTTATGCGCTTGACGATACTCTGCGTCTAAACGAGATGTAACCTCAGCATCATCTAACACTGAACCAGCTAATGTTGCCATTGGTGAATTACTTGCTGAAGAAAAGCTTGGCGTGTCATCCAACCATTTATTTATGTCCTAAATAATATTAACTCAATCAATTGTTTATATCTTAAATTGTTTAATGCAAATTAAAAAGGTACCCTTAAAGTCTGCTCTGTAACTTCTTCGAGTGCTTGTACTTCTATAGCACTAGTATTTTTTATTATTACACTTTTTTTTAACTTGGACATTTCTTTTGCCTTAAATTCCTTCTTTTTAGATTCCAATTTAGAATCTAAACTACAGGAGTCATCATCAGTTTGATTGATACTATTTTCAAATTTGCTAGAATACAAACATACACCAATGAAAGAAAATGAATTAATTTAAGACAAATCAATATATTATTTACCTTGAATCTAAACACTCTCGTAATTTTTCTTCGTTTTCTTTATCAGTATTATTAGATGATTCTTTACTACTAGTGCTTCTCTGTCTGTTTCTACTTATCCTTGATCTCATAGTTCCATTTTCATAGCGTTTAAGATATGCCATTTCATCATCAGATTCCTCAGACACCTCCCAGTCTAGATATTTGTGAACCCCAATGTTGAAAACTCTTTGTAAATTTCCACACATAACTGAATATTCTAAAATGTTAACATCAACATAAAATCCAAAAACAATGGTTTTATTTTTTTTAATAATTTACCATTTGTAGATCCATTGTACTGTTTACAGTTGGCGATAATTAATTGAAAATCATGTTTGAACTGACCAAATGTTTGGTACAAATCTTTATTAAGCTTATCCTCCATTTGTTGGAGATCCATTGGAGTTTTTACTACCCTGTAGTAGCTTGGTGCTATTTCTTCATCAACTGGTTCCAGAAATGGCCAAGCATCTTCATGATCCTTTAATTTGTTCAATATTTTGTACATACCAATTTGTAAATCCTCAGAACTAGATTTAAACCTAAAATTATATTATTATTTAAGTGGAGAATGACAAAAAATTTAAGCAAATACATTAAAAGAAATAAACTCACCCAGCTTTAGGTGTAGTTTTAGTCTTAGGTTTGTGATGTGAAGGTTCAATTACAATTTGACCAGTAGCAGAAGCTAATGAATTATTTGTTTGCCGGCACGTTTTTTTGGAACTACTCGAAGAATATCCATGACTTTCAGCATCACTATCTTCACTATCTACATTTTCTTTGACTTTTAATTGTTTCCCTAACTTTTTTTTTCGATTTTCTTTTTTTTTTCCTTTTCCATTATTTACAAGACATAAATCTTCATACTTTTTTCTTTCTTCCTTTTGCTGTTTAAGTTTTTCAAGCCTAGTAGATTGTCGACGCGGTTGCATTTCCAACATGCGTTTCCGTTGCAATCTCTCTTTTTCTTCAAATAAACGAGGAATTTCTGGTAAAAAATCTTCAGTAATTACTTGATGTAGAGCTTGAACATCCCTGTTATCTGAATCCTCTGTTTTCAAAGCCAACCTTTCCCAGTCGCTCTCGGTAAAGCAAACCACCTGCCATTTTCCAGAACCTAAATCTAATTCATCTTCTTCTATATCCAAACAAATAGGCAGTTCAGTTTTCTTTTTTCTGCCTCTTTTTTTCTTTTTCTAAATGTCAAAAAAAGACGAAAAATAACCATATAATAAATGATAAAATAATATTAAAATTAAGAAAATTACCTTTTTGTTATGTACAACTTTTTCATAATCTTCTCTATATAAACGAGTACCATAAAAGTACCAATAAGCTGATTTATTTTCATCATACCCTAAAGGATGCACTCTTAAACTATCTGAGTCAAGGTTTTTAAGTGATTCCATAACATCATCAGCATCCAATCTAAAGTCACATAGAGCATGAAGTATCTCCACTTTGGTTCGAAGTGGCAAAAACTGGAAGTCAATATCGGAATTGAAAGGGTTCTGGAAATTGTACTCCTAAATAAATATTAAAAAATAAATTAATACAAAGAATATTTTATTTTGCTTTTAATATTTTTAGTAAGTATATATTTATAAGTAATATTTACACTAACCTTGCATTTTTCTCTAAATAGTCTACGTAAAAACATTTGATAGTTGAAAGTAGATATACTGTTGTTGCCGAGGCAGCCAGATAATAATCTGGCAATGAGCTCCTGTAACAGAGAGTTGCCATTGTCCTCAGTTCCATCTGTCAATAAAGCAGCTTCTAAATCCTAAAAATTATTTTGTAATCTCAATATAAGTAAGCAAATAGAAATTTGAAAAATTTAGTAAGGATTACTTACTTCAATGTCGAAGTCAAGAAGATCAAAAGACACACGAAATAAAGAACAGAAGTGAGCAATACTCGGAACTTCCCACCATGAATGGATATCTAAAAATCAAAGAAAGTTTTAGAAAAGTTGTACTTTTTGCAAAATTTCTATTGGTTCTATCATTGAATTATATATATAGTGAGATGACTCACAGTAAAAACAAATTAAAATTAAAGATGTTATAGTACCTTTTGTTATAATTTATTAATTATTATTAATGATTGTAATTGTAGGTAGTACCCACTGAGTACTGCTTAAAAATCACACACTACATACAAATATATATTAATTAATCTTATTTAAAACTGACTTATCTATTTTAAATATTTATCTACTAAATAAATACCAGTAATCAGAAATTATATCAATAGATAACTAAACAAATATTTTATATCCATCTGATATTTTATAAAACTAATAAAATAGTTTTTCTGTAATTATAGAATAACTAATAAAACTATATATATATATATATATTTGATGTGAACTATTTATTTATAATTCATCAATATATTGTAATTTTACATTATTTTAAATGGAAAATAAATTATAATTTGTAACGTTTTTAAATTTTAAAACTGAATAATACAATAACTAAATTAGTGTACTCATTAAAATGGGTCTTAACTAAATACATTTTTAATAATATTAAGTAAGTATTTCCTAAAATAATTTAATTTAAGGATGAAATAAACTATCTGTATGTCGAATTTCTATACCAATTAGCATAACAATTGGAAAAAGTATATAGTTTAAATTCATTAAATTAAATTAAGTTGTAGACTTCAATACACTTATTGATTTTCTTTAAAAAAAAATACGAAAATATGTTTAGTTAATAATCGATATGGGTTCACTTTTAAACATCAATTTGTAATGAACTATGCATAATTGTTAATTAAATAAAAACTAATTTAAACTTCATATAAGAATGTTGCATTCTTAGTTAATTTTTTTTATAATTAAGAAAAATACTTTTAAATTAAATTATGATATAGAAGGAAAAACCAGTTAAAGTACAGGATACTCGCTCTGTATAAACAACAAAATGAAACTATTAATATAAAATATAATAGCAAACAACTCAAATCATAGGTTGTTAAAAAATAGCACAAAAAATCAATGCTAAATATTGTAGACGTGACATAACATAATACTGAAAATATACTTAAAACATATTATCCATTTAATAAATACAAATAATGAATAATATAATAATTTACTAGGTTTAATTAAATAATTAATTCAATAAATATATACATATATATTTATATACTATAAAATGTAAATATAACACATGAATACATAATATAAACAAATTTAAATCAATGATTTAAAAGCCACTCATTGTTTTACTTATTGCTTAATCGACAAAATATGATTATTTTAGATTACTTACTATGAGATTGAAATAAATTGCTTTATAATGTTTTAACTAAATAAATAATAATGAAAATGTATCTTGTACAACGATACCATCAATAATCTAGAAAATGAATATAGTTAATGTTTTAACTCATTATAAATATATCTTATAAATCGTAAACTAAATAATAAATAAGAAATATAAGTTGATGAAATCGAAGTACCCTAAATATCCTAATATTTATCAAATACTTCCAATGCAAATAAAACACAAATATTCATTGTTCTTATAACTTTACCAGTTTTACGAGTATTTCGATATATTGATTAATAATAATCAATAACATAAATTATAGAAATAAAATATAACAGCTAACAAAAAAAAAAAAAAATCATAATATTACATTAGTGTTTAATACGAAAAATCATAAAAAAGATAAAATATCAAGACGAAAAATCGCAATTTTTTTCAGAAAATAATTAATAATTATAATCAAATTTAATCAATGTGAATGTTTTTAAGCACAATTCACGCCAAATTCAATATTAAAACCCAAGTATTTCGGATAAGCCTGTATTCATGAACGATACCTTGAATACAAGGGAAGGGATGCCAATAACACATATATTTTATTGTTATGCGATGAAGGTCTCATTCGAACCTCATTTAGCAATATATACGAGCTTAAAAAATTACTAATTTAAGTTAGAAAATTAATATAATAAAACACCTAAAATATTTAAAGGTTTAAGTATGGAAATTGGTTTTTTTTTAAGATAATATCAGGCGTTTAATTTAAAACATTTTTATTCGAATTTCTGAGTTTAAACTCTAATATTGACCAAAGTAATGTCTTTAGAAGAGCATATTATTCAATTTTATTTTAGTTTTACTTTCCTGTAATATAAAGAAAAATACACTTAATAATATAGTATGTTAATATTTCTAAAAGTTGAGAATTCATCGGGGAATTCAGCTAAAAACCATAAAATGGTGATATTAACAGAATTAGCAAGTTTTTTTTTTTAAATTAAAATTATGTTTAATAAAAAAACAGTAAATACATTTTTTCAATATACGAAAATATGATAAAATTAAACAATTTTCAAGAATTATCTAAAATTGTATATAACGAATTCTAATTTCAATAAAGCTGAAAGATGTTTAACGGTGGTTGGTTAAAACATCAAATTCATGAAATAGGGGTATGTAGTATAAATTATATTTAAAAAATAATAATATCTTTCTACCTAAAAAGGTACTAGTTTTAAGTTGCTTATATGCATAAAAAACATATTTCCTGTAATGTAATTAAGGCTAAATTATAGTAAATTTTACATAAACAATTCATTTGTAATAATTATTAGATTCACCCAATGTCCAGAGCTTTAGAGGGATAAATAAAAAAAATTATTCCAGTGGAAAAAATTGTTCCTTTTCAAATAATTTTATTATTGGCATTATGTAAAAAAAAATAATTCAAATTATAAGAATTTATAATGATTGCAATTGATTATTATTGTAAATTTAAATTTATGAAACACTAACAGCGTAAAAAAAATTGTATACAACATCTATTAAATTCAGTTTATAGAAAATAAAATGAAGTTGACTAGTTCGATGTCCACTTATACATAATATAATTTATTTTAAAACCATCATTTACACAATATGGTATGTGTATGATAAAAAAAAAAGCAACGGAACGGACAACCAATTTTGTTAGCAATTTAATTAATTTAAGATATAATAAATAAATAATTAAAATAATAAATATGTGAATAGATTTTTTAATATCTTATTCGATGGCAATCACACAATAAAAAGTAGATACATAATTACCTTACTATCACTTTCGCTAATTCAAGATAAAAATATATGGGGAGAAGATATTTTGTACACGAATTTTTTTTTTTTTTAATTGTTTAAACCTTTTTATATATTTTAAAGATAATATAGTATGCTGAAAAAAATTTCCACGTGTTCTGTGGTCAAACTAAATAATATAATATACATTAAGATGTATAGGTATGTAAAAGAAATTATAAATAGTTTTTCACTTTTATCTAAAGAAATTAAACTGTAGTATCAAAATTATTTTTCGTTTAAAACGTGTATCATATTGTAAATGTCAACTAAACTATAAACCAAGTCTTCGGCATGGAAAAAAAAAATGGTAGTGACATCGCTAAACTATCCATTCCCCCCTCACCCTGCGATCGATAAGATATTGTGAAAGAAAATCTGAATCAATTAATTTACTTAGCTAGAAAACGATACAATAATACTAAGTTTTGTTTAAAGCCTCTTTTCAAAGTTTGTTTTCAAACAGAATTAATTACCAACAAAAGTAGACAGTTGAAACGGAAAAGTAAGGAGCTCTATTTTCGAGCCTTCGCGTCGGGATCCTTATATCGGATACACGTTCACGCGGTGGACACGTCACACGACGAGAACAACGTACACAGCGTACGAACATTAATGTGCGACTGACCGCGGCGATGAGTTTACGGTGGTACCGTGTACCGCAGCAGTAGTTGTTGGTGGGTACCGCGTGCAGACGCGCGTGTGCGTGCGGTACCGACGAAACATGCGTGCGTGTGCGAGAGAGCAACTCCCACTTTCCGTTTTTACTGCCAGTCACTGCACCGCTACCGACCGCTTCGTACGGCGGTCGTAGAGCGTCGCCCGTCGGCCCGATAACCACTATACCATCATATTGAAATAATAAAATAATAACCGCAATAAACTATTACGTTGCTTGGCGGTAATGGTCGGGTATTTGGAAATCATTTACTTTACAAACGCGTCGATAAATATTCGAATCGACTAGACTACGTACGTTACATCATTCAACTATGCGGAACAACATTTTTTTCTCCGCGCACCGACTTAAAAATACGTAGATTAAAAGTAACTACAGATTAGTAATTTATTAAAATATTGGCTATTCGTTTCCCCTCGAAAACATTACGCTCACCGTGACCTACAACCAAACACACATTTTCTGTAAAACTGACAATACGACCCAAAATTTAAAAAAGGACGAATACACGTTTATCGTTGAATATCATTCTATATTAAATCAACAGAGCGAGAGAGAGGTATATATTGGCTGTTGCGAACATCACTGATATGTTTTAACTGCATTGTTTTTAATTGAAAACCCTTAGTAAATAAATTATTTATATTAGAAACCATCTACATGTATAAATTATATACTCCATTACAGTCAAGATTGTTATTAATTTAGGATATTTTTTTTTTTTAATATATGTGATTTATTTTTATATTTATAAGAATAGTAATAAGTTAAAAATGTTTAATTACGTTCTGCAAATAAATACTTTTTTCAACTATAATTGATACACTTTATTTTAGGTTAAGGTTATCCGTAGTAGTTTCTATATAGCGTTTCTAACACGGTAATTACTGTTTTATGTGAAATATATATTGGTTACAGACCACAGAAAACAGATGGGAATTGTTTAAAAAAAAAAACATTTTTTAATAAAATATATAAAATTAAAATAAAAACACATTATTCCAACAACCGTTTTTGACATTCATCTCGTTTTGTCGACTTTACACAGAATGATAGTGAGTTAAGCACTGTTTTATAGTCAAACTAAATAATTATAATAACATTAGAAAAATTACTTTAAACTACCATCAGTGAAACAACATTTTTTT